TATATATATATATATATATATATATTTAAAGAACTAGGTATTGTGACTGAATAAAAGAATACCTTTGCTGCTTCTTTTTTTTTAAAACATACTTTTCAAGGCATTTTTATTGTAAAAATTATTTTTAAAATAAAAATCCTTTAAAACTACATTTTGATATTTGTTTTTGTTTTCTGTGTCAGGTTTTTCTCTCATTGTACTGAACTAGACACCCGTACCAAATTTCTCGTCAAGACAAGTTGTAGTCATCATATCATATTGTTGTCGTCTTCTGTCATCTTCTGGCTGTTATCTCATCTGTCTCTCGCTTCAAGCTTTAAGACAGGACACACAAAACAGGGGCATGTTTTTGCAAATAGTCATCTTATTAATACTTTCTTATACCACCTTTCACTGGAATTACAGCTGCAAGTCTCTTGGGCGAACTATAAGAGTCTGCTTCTTTTCTTTTTCAAAACTGTGTCTGTAAATGTTATTTTTCCACAGATTCCCAGTTTAGGTCCAAACATTTTCAGGTCCTGGAGCTTCTTTTGATGCCGCAACAGCCTGTTTACATTTAACGTTTCCATTTTGTTGTGTTTCATTATATAAAAAAAAAAAACAAAAAGAACAAAATACAAGTTTCTATTCACCACATTGTGAAATTTTGTCAAAAATGTGAACTCTGAAAAAATATTTCCTTTTCTCCAATTCAGATCTCAAAGTCTAGTATAGCAGTTTAACTAATAACTCCATGATGAAACAGTTTCTTTTAGTTACGGGGAAAAAAAAGGGGTAACACTTTATTTGAAGGGGGTGAATAAGACTGACATGACACTGTCATAAACATGACATAACACCTATTATGAACATGAATAAGCCTTCATGAATATTTATGACTGCTGTCATAAAGTGTCATTTGGTAAAGTATGACACTTTTAATACAAAGTTGACATTATTCAAAATGTCTTTGTTATGACAACTTGACATTAACCAAGAAATCATTACTGATGTAATTTGTTATAAAAGTATAACTGACTGCACTTTAAAAATTAGGTAACTTTATGTTATTAAAGGTAAAGTTTAAACAGTAATGATTTATTGGTTAATGTCAAGTTATCATAACAAAGACATTTTGAATAATGTCAACTTTGTATTAAAAGTGTCATAATTTACTGAATGACTCTTTATGACAACAGTCATAAATATTCATGAAGGCTTATTCATGTTCATGACATGTGTTGTCATGTTTATGACAGTGTCATGACAGTCTTATTCACCCCCCTTCAAATAAAGTGTTGCCAAAAAAGGGAAATATGGGACAACATTAACAACAACTATCAACGCTAATTAGCACTAATTAATTAATTAACATTAATTAACCAACAAGTCTCCTTGTTTTGAAATAGATTTCAAAACAAGATTTCTAAAGTGGAGAGTTTTAAAAACTGCTGAGCATGCTCTCTGCACCCTCTCAGGAAAGTAAAGAACATTGGCACTATCTTTGACCAGAACATGACATTTAATTCCCATATTAAATAAGTTTATAGGACCTCCTTCTTTCACACTTTCAATATTACAATAATTAGAAATATCCTGTCCAGAGAAATACCTTACTACACTCCTTCAATGTTCACGCTATGCAGCATAATCAATGAGAATAATAGCTCATAAAGTCATCGTCTCCAGATCCAAATTCTTGCTTCAGAAGTAAACTTAAAGCAGTGTGACTATAACAGCACTACTTCCTGGTTCACAGCTGTCCACTCCCAGTGATTAAAATGTTTCACTCTGCACCTGCACCGTTCCAGAGGTCAGTATGCTGGAAAACTTCATCTTTTCGCTTATTAGCGTTTACGTCATGGTTCGGCTTACAGTGGAACATTTACACTGTAACAGCAAAATCTCTCCCCAGTACAACTCAAGGTGGCCAAAATGAAAGTAGTCACACTTGTACCTCAGTTTGAGATCCGTGGTTCTAAAGGAGTCAGACGGCTCAGTTGAACTGATAACCTCATCCTGCACTTTCCCTCAGAAGCCCTATAAAAGCGGTTTCAGCATTTCCAGAGCTTGCTCTGGTACAGGGTCTTACTTACCCTCTCTATGAAAGGAAACAACGGCCGCTGAGTCAAAAGTAGTAGAAGTAGGGCTTCTTCAAAATTGTGTAATCCAATAAAATTTAAATATAACAGTAAAACATCTACGTAGCTTTTCTGTGAATTCCCACTTTGAGGATTCCTTCTTGACTCAGCTCAACTCTGCAATGATCCCATGTCAATTTTTAACAGGCAGACTTTGTGATAAGAGACCAAAGGTCACATCTGCTCTCGAACGCATCCACACCTCCAATAACACTGCTGGTGTGAGCATTAGGCATTTCACGAATGAAATAAATACTTACAGAGAAAAATCTGTATAAATGACCCTGTTGGTTAGATGTTAGACCAAAAATATAGACAGCAGGAGAGTTTCTAATACTGGTCTTGAATTACACAACGTCTTGTTTTAAAAGATTTGTCAAACACCAGAAAGAAATCTCTGCAGTTACTAAAAAACATGGAAACTAAATGCATTCTACCCAAAATATCAGAATTAATTTAGCTGCACAGTTTTGCGATGGACATTCTGACCTTCAGTGGCACCACACTGCCCCTCAGTGGTTTCTAAGTTAATTACATAAATCACAGTAAAATATTTTTTTTAGAACGACAGATGTCGCTAGAGGTGAGGCTTTACGACAAATCTGTCGCAAACATGTGTATTGGAATAAATTATGTTCAGGAAGGAGACGGGTTCTGGTCCAAAATGTGCAGATTGAAACCAGAACAAAAGTCAAAGACCTTGAAAAGATGCTGGCTGATGTTGATAAGAAAATGTCATTATCCACTGTGAAACATTTCCTATAAATATCTAAGAGCCTTTCAGCAAGGAAGAAGCTTTTACTTCAAAAGAAACCTAAAAAGCCAGATTGCAGTTTGCAAAGGCACAAAGACCTCCAAACTTTCTTCAAAACTGACAATAGGGCTAAGCGTCCAACCAAAGTGGTTATAAAGTGGCTTAAGTTCAACAAAGCTTTGATCTCAATCATGTTGAAAAGTTGTGGGTAGATCTGAAAAGGCATGTGCAACTGAGGCGGCCAGCAAACCCGACTCGCTGCACCAGTTCTGTCAGGAGGAATGAGCCAGAGAAACTTGCGGAAAGAAACCTGGAAAGTTTCACCCAAGTTCATACAGTTTAAAAGACAATTATCCATAAAACCGAAGAAACTTATGTAAACTTCTGAACCCAAAGAAAGCTGCAAAGAAAAAATAAAAGTTCTCTAATTTTTCTGGCACTTAACAAATAGAAATAATGTTGGTATTTATAGGTAATCTAAGACAGAGATGAAAAAAACCCCTGTGCATTTACCTTTTTATTCAGTGTTCAACTATATATACTTTCACATAAAATGAAAGAGAATTTACTTGTTCAATTGAAAGAAAGGAAAAGCTTTTGTAAGGATTTGGTTTTTTTGTGTGTCACTTTAGTTCCTGTGTTGTCTGCCTTTAATTGCCCCCAGCTGTGTCTCGTGTTCCCTGACTACCCCTTGTGTATTTAGTCCCACCCGTGTTCCCTGCTCCTTGTCGTACATCATTTCTCTACACCTTGTCTCAGGTCTTGTTGGTTTGTTTCGGTGCCAGTTGTTACCAGTGTTAGAGTACCCTGCCTTCAATGCTCACCTGTGCTACCTGGACTTTCTGTAAACCTTCATCATCATCATTAAATCTTCATTTCCTCACTGGGTCCACCGCGTCCATGTCACCGCCTACAACCATAAAACATGACAGTTTTTAGCTGTCACGTTTACGGTATGTCATTTGAGTGATAGGACAGATGGATTTATGACGGGGATGTTTTTGTGGAAGGCACTCTTATCTTGTACTAGAAATGCACAATAAATAATTTCCACGCTCATCCAGTCACAGATTGCTTTTGATATAACTTCTGTGACCCTGATCGTATTTAAAAAGATGATCTAAGACAGTTTACAGACCCGGCTGAGAGTTGTCTATGGGAGAAAGCCCGGCTAATAATACCTACAGTTATTGCTTCTTTCAGTGTCGACACTCTTCGCTCAGGTGGCTCTCGTTTCCCACAGCCTTGGGATGGAAGGTTAACGCAAATGTTACACTTTTTATCTAAAATATAAATCTATACCTTGGCAGTCAAACTGTAAACACATTGCAGGAATTGTGACTAATTTATGACTTATCGTACAGGACAATAAGCATCGTTCCCTGGTTTGACAACCGTAACTATAAACAGATGCACAAACGTATAGAAATGAATCATGAGGGTTTGGTCTGTAATGGTTGGCATTCATTAGGAGTGCAGCTAATCTTTCCCAGAAGCCATAAAATAAACGCATACCAAGAAACAGCTAGCCATCCTATCTGATAAAGTTACTGATAAATATATAAGTATGAATATGTAAATGAATACATATAATATAAATATATAACACGTTGATGAATGTATAACATTCAAAGAAAGAAAGATAAAAACCAAGAAATAAGAAAAGAGAAAAGAAAAGAAATAAATAAAGAGAGCTCCCGATTCCCTATTATGAAGGATGGAATATGATATATGTGATCATGGAGCACAAAATGTTTGAAGGGGCTGAAGATGCTGAGGAAAACCTGCTTCTAGGCAAAACTCAAGGACAAAATACAGCACAAGGTCAGACTGTGCTGAGCCTTGGTCTGTGTTCCCCAGTTTTATTTGCAGACTTTCACAAAATGCATTTTCCACTCAGAGTATTCATGACTAATTTCCTTCTCTGTGTGAAGTGGACTTTGTCTTGGTTGGTTTTGAAGATCACTATCAAAACACACCATTCAGCAACACTCGGTGGAAAATGTCTGAAGATATGAAGGATCAGAGACAGATGAGCATGTAAAAAAGGAAACGACGTGAAAACAATATATTCACTACTCTGAATAATTTAGAAAATGCCAGATATGTGGCCAGATATACTCTTAGTAATATTTTTGTGAAAACTGTGAAATCGTTTGCCACATACACATTTGAATGACTAAAAACTTTTTCTTCTTGAGTGGACATTGAAACTTTTTTTGTAATCATAAGCAAAAAAAAAAAATCTTCAGTTTGTTCTTTCTAAAAATGGAAAAAAAAAAAAAAAAGCAGAAAGAAGTAGACAAGGAATTGGCCAAAAAAGTTATCACAACTAATGGTGTGAAACTAACGATGGTGGTCACACTGACGATCTTCTTCTCATATTTAAATAACAGAGCTCTGTAGCTGTCCTTTCTGGCGAGCAGGTTTGTTTACCTCATTCAGCTCCCAGAGCTCCTGCTGATTCGCTTCACTGCGGGAAATATCCATGCAAAATAATTATGCACAATTACTTATTTTTGTGAAACCTTCATTTTAAAATGAGAAGATGGAAAGAAACAACAAACCATAATGAAATCAACATTTAATCGCCCAGCAGCAAAAGAAAACATATGATCAAATCGAGAACACTTCCTTACAGTGTAATAAACACTCAATTTGTCAAAACGGAGTGTCAAACAGAAAGTGAATTCATCCATTTTCCTAGAAAGGTGAATCTGTAACCAGTCAATCTTTAATGAATTATTAAACTCTGGGTTAAATAAGATTCTTGCCGACACCTTTAGGTTGCTGATGCAGGGCATTTCTTGTGGCATCAGCAGCATCTCTGCGTCAAGCTCCAACACCTCGACTGCGTTTTCGGTTCATCTAAACCCGTCTTGTTAATCGTTGACTTTTCAGGAATGATAACACGCATCAAATATGAAAAACAAGACAGTAAATAAGTCAGAGTGAAACTGGCCGATGCATCCGGCCTAATTGGGACAGACACAGAGCAGAAGAGGGTTCACAGGGGCTTTGTTAAACCCGTAGGTCGGGTCCAAGAAAGTAAAACCTCGACCTCATTTCTTAAGAAATAAAATAAAATACTGTAAACTATATTCTTATTTTCCAATCTGACTTTGCAATGAAATCTGATCTCCACTAAATTCATAGTGCCTAATTCTGCAGTCTTTCAAAACCAACTTTTGAGGAGCTTTTCTATTAGCAGGCTGACATGAAGGAACATTTTGCGTTATGTGATGGGGAAAGCGGCTGGAAGTGAGTTTTAAAAAAGAAGAAGAAGAAACAGAAAAGCCTCAAATGACCTTTATTGTGATTACATTATTACGGGAAAGTCTAACATGTAATCCTAATTTTTCTTTAATTATCTTTTGTGCATTTAGCTGATTTTCTGTTAAGATTTTCTTGTCCTTTTTTTCTATACCTTTTCATCTTGTTATACTTACTGCAGTTGCTGAAATTCATTTGGGTTTAACTGATTTGTTTTTATCATTTTCAGTCAGTATTTTATTATGTTTTATTGTGTGCTAGCTCTGTTTTAATGCGCTTATCATGATTTTTTTTTTTGCTATGCTCATTAGATATTTTATGTCAAAGTTCAGTCACAAGTTGTTCGGACAAACGTCAACTCTATTAGAAACACATTTCTGTGCGTCTTTCTCGTTTCTGTGCTTAATCTTCTTAAGCTCTTTCTTTTTCTCTGCTGTTGTGTTGCAAGTGTTAACACATTTTTTATTTTCCCAGGCTTTTATCTCTTGATCTTACTTATGTTGCTTTTATGTTTTGTATGGTTTTAAGGTTGATTTCTTTTGTACAGAGCTCTGTGATTTTTTATCTGTGAAAAGCGCTTTATAAATAAACTTTACTCATCAGTTTCGCCTGCTTCAGCCCATGTTATGTCACAAGGCAATCATTTCTGCAACAGGTTTCTGTGTTAAAATCTGCTGTCACCTCTCCCATATCGGAGAGCTTCAACTCCACTGCGACGCAGGTTTTCTTTAATATTTGAAGGACTTTATGGAAGTCAAATAGGTTTAAGTCGATACTGTTGTCAGACATTTAATTGAAACAAGCATCCCGTCACACAAATCTTCTGAATGTAGTGTGGTTTATTTTTATGTCCACAGTTTGCAATAATAACAACAATACAAAAAAATCATTCTGAATTATATACATTTTATCCCTGAAAAATACTTACAAAGTATTATATTTACCATTTAAATAACATCCTGAGTCCAAATAAGACTTTACAAATAACAACAAAAAAAGTGCTTTAGAAAAATAAAACGATTTTGTCTTTTTTAAAAAGCAATCATTAGCAACGATAAACACACTAGTAGCATCTCAGAACCTTTACTCCTGTACTAGATTCAGGTTTATTCATTTTTAAAATCCTGGCTTTACTTCACTCAGGGGATTTTTTTTTCCTTCAGAAATCCCCGATTACTGGCTTCTGTACCAGGACACATTCAGTGTTCGCTGTCTCTAGTGTTACAGTCTGTCACTAGTTTGCATTTGATGCTTCCTGCAGCAGGTTTGGCGATCAGCCAGCTCCAAAGGGTCACTTCTACGTCACTGTAGGAGAGCTGATCTCCAGTCGACACAGCGGACAGGTACCGAACTGCACCAGGATTTTGGGGGTGCAGTGACTGCAGAGGCAGCGGTGGCCACAGGGCAGCGTGATGTCCTTCTGCCGCACCATGCACACCACGCAGAGGTCATCTGTGAGCAGAAGAGAGAAAAAACAATACAATTACGAGACATTCGGGTGACTCCATCGTTCACTTGAATGGGTAAAACAAAAACAAAAAAAAATCAAATGACGTTGGCAGAAAACGTACCGGCTGGGATTTCCATGTTCAGGCAGGAGACGCAGTCATCAGAGTTTTCACTCGGCGTCGTATTTTCAAGACTGAAAGTGGAGGGCCGTCTGATGGGAGGCTTAGGTAAAGGGCAAGATCTTTTCTTGGAAAGAAGACCCTTTGTCTTTGAGCCTGCAGCAGGGAATAATTCAGAGAATTATTGATATTTTTAGTGTATGCCACAGCCTTTGCAAAGAACAAGAAGATCAGGCTCTTAGTCAAGCAAAACGTGGGTGTGTTAAAAGTTACCTAGAAGGAAGACGGAGCAAGTCTGGCCGTAGACATCAATCATGGCCCAGAGAGGCTTTCTGACATCCACTTTCGCTTCTATCCTTTGCTTCCTGGAGTTTTGAAATTTCAGACATATGTCGCCGTCAGCTGTGACCCAGAATTCCAGCGCAGAACCTTCCTGACAGTAGGACTCGAGCACAGGGGTGGCCCAGTAACCCGAGGTTTCGGTGAGGTTGGGCATAGAAATCGGGGGCAGAGGCAAAGATCTGGTCGATGGGCGAACGTTGGTGAAGCCCACGCGCATGGCTCCTTGCCAATGTGGCACCTGCCTCTCCACCAGCACCCGGATCCTCTCGCTGATCCTCACACAGCGTCTTGTGAAAACAACACCACCTTTGAAAGTGTCTTTAATCCTCTCGGCACGTCGACCGCCCTCGCTCAGGCAGATCATGTCTCCCAGGACCCTGGGATGGAAGGTCAGGGGGCCGAGGCAAGAGGAGTCGCATTTGTGGGTCATCTTTGGATCTGCGGGGAAAGAAAATCACCATTAAAACTTTATGGTGATATCAACAGGTTATGTTTATTACATTTACACAAAAACAGGAGCTGCACTATAAAACCAGGACACGTAGTTTAACACAACATCCTGACAGGTAGACAGTAAAACCTTCAACGTAAATGTCTCCCTTTATGGATTGCAAGGTTGCAGCAGGGATAGTCAACCGAACTTTACTAGTTTAACAAGTTTAGCTGCAGATAAATTTGTAAACATATTATACAATAGCAGCCACGCTTGGTTTCACTTTGACAGGTCTGTCAGGGTTTGGCAGTCTTCCCATTTGATAATTGCTATTAGCTTGCAGTGAGTGCAAGAAAATGATTTGACTTACAGTGACAAGTGATCTTCATAAACCACAAGTTCAGTTCAGAACAATCCCATTTACTTCATATTCCTGCTGTCTACTTTTGATCTTGTTGCAGGCCTGACTGTTTAAGCACAACTTAAGCAGTTGCGTAAGACTTTGTCAGCAAAGAACAAGAAATCGTGAGTAAATCTACCTAAAGGTGATCTGCAAACTAAATAAAACGGGTTAATCTGCGTTGCTGCTCATTTCTCTCTCACAGGATTCTCAGAACGTCCCGACACAATCTTGACCTCAAGCGCTTTTGTTTACTTTCATTTCCTTATCACATTACCACCAGAGGAAGCGGCGGTCGGATTGCACATTTTGGCTTTCAAACCATGGGTAGTGCTGGTGTGCAGAGTGACCTGCTGGAGTCCATGCATGTCAGGACTTGTCTTTAATACACTAATTGTTGAAATCAGGTTAGGCTAGAAATATTTGCCGCGTCTTTTACAACGCTTCTAGATCTTACAGTGAGTCATCTACAAATCCCCCGGCATAGATTCCAACTCACTGCGTACTGGTCAATAAACATTCCTATCTAACATCACGTTTCCAGTTTTCTACTATACACGGTTTATTGCTCCAGGAGTTACATTATGGAGTTGTTTGAAGTCTCCATAAGTCTTCTCTTACCACCTGTTTTACAACCAACTTATGTTGCTTCTGCTTATTTTCCCTGCTATTCTCATTTTTCAGTAACTTTAAGAGTTTAAGTTACAGGATTGCTTTTTTTGTTGTTGTTGTTGTTTTATAAAACGCACATTTTCTGATTTTGTAATTTTAGCTTTTTTCCTACTTTCATAAACAAAAAGCATCTTACATCCTTAAATGTTTTTTTTAAACCTAAAAGAGGCATTTTCAATTCAAATATGAAATGAAGACAAGTTGCAGAAATCTTACCAGTCTTATTATTGTGGTCCTCTCTCATCTTGGAGCAGATGCAATCTTTCATATGTCGACACGGGAGCTGTGCTCTCTCGTCTGTGTTGCGGTTTGGTTATGATCAAGTGGGAGTGTTCTGACCTGCTTTAAAGCGAAGCGCACATGTGGTTTGGAAAACAAAACATCCACTCAGTAAGTGAATGAAAAGAGGAAGGGGGCGGGACAGTGGGAGGTCAGAATCAAACTGGAATTTTACCCAACACTTTCTCATGTGACTTCTTTTAGAACTTTTGAAAAAAAAAGAAAAAAGGTTTGTAATTTACCTTTTAGTCATTGCTTCTTTTATTTTTGGTAATTCCCATTATGTTTAGCTATTGTTTTCCATTTGCTTCTAACTTATGTTGAAGACAATTTTAAATTTGTTCACAGATGCATCTCCAAGTTCTCCTTTCAGCTGAAACAATGACCTCTGATCAGGCTGGCAATTCCCCTCATAATATAATATAATATAATATAATATAATATAATATAATAAGACAATGTTTTGCTAATTTCACCTCCTTTTAGCCTACGTCATATCACTAAACAGATTTTATCAACAACATTTTTTTTTTTTTTTTTTTTTAGAGCTTTGACAACAATCGGGTTGAAATTAAAGTAATAATCCCCACCGAAAAAGATTTTAAGTTAAATTTAAAACTACCTTTCTTTCATTTATTCAGGTAACTTATGACTTTTACAAATGTTTCAAATCATGTGATTATGTGACTTATTTTGGTGAGAAAAAGAAAAAGCAAAAACTAAACAGTATAGAATAGAATAGAATAGAATAGAATAGAATAGAATAGAATAGAATAGAAACTGATATCAGATATCATGTTGGAAAATTCCCACAAAACATTGGGCATGTTATGGGAGCTCTGACAGACTCCGCACAGTTGTGTCATAATTTGAGCTTTCAACTCTGTGTGTAATTTTTTTTTTTCCTCAGAAAGCGGTTGACTCAGATGTGTTGGCTAAGAAAGGATATGCAGAAATGGTTCTGATTGGGCCATGTGCGATCTGTCATGTACAGTAAATCCTGTGTGAGAGATCCACTGGAAATTTACTGTATGGCTGTGCATCTGGCTAAGAGACGTTTTTATCTGACTTGTCTCGTCTCACTGTGCAAACTGCGGAATGCTTCGTGCATGGCAGCTGTTTACTGTCAGAACTTGCATTACAGGAAACTGTAAAGAGAGGTGGAAACATATTAAGTATAATTTTAGGTTTCAATCTTAAAAGAAAACTGAAATCCTTTCAATGGATTTTGCTTCTTTATTATTATTATTATTATTATTATTATTATTATTATTATTATTATTATTATACACATAAACTCTTTTTTTAATGAACAGTGTTTATTTCGATTACCTCCATAGGATGGCTAAACATTCCGTGATTTACAGGAAACAAGATCACATGAGCTTCATGGTCACAAGTCATTATGAAACTCAACAAAACCGTATAACTCCTGAAAAGCACGGGCCATAAAGCAATGGAATAATTCCCTACCAAACAAACTATAAAATCTTTTCGGGATTTACCTACATTTTCTAATTAGCACGGGGAGTTACTTAATCTTTATCAGTGAAATGAAACAAACGCGCGTTCTCCGTAGCTTTTTCCTTTTATCCCCTGCATGAACATTAAGCATTCATACTGTTGCTAGAAAGACAAATAGTGCGGCGTTGTTAATGTTTAAGCTGTTCTGCGAATACAACATTTTTTTTCTCGATATAGTGGCCTCTTAAAACATCTATTTGCTTATCTTTTGGACTCAAACTCTAAAGTATCGCGTCAAAATTAACTCTGTCAAATCTTTATCTCTGCGAATTTTGACATTTTTTGTTTGTTTAGTTTGGTAATATTTTACCTAAAACATGCTGGACTCCTTCGGTCGAGCGGTGCCTAAGCAGTGCCCACTGACTGCTGTGGTACAGCTTGGTACTACTTCCTCATAGCCCGGCGTCCGGGTATATTAAGCCACCTCACCCAGACCCGGGCCCCACCCGGTGGCGATTCAGGATTTGACATAGCAAGCTGAACATGACCATCTTTGTAATTGTGTGACGACGTGGACACGCGTGGATTGGCGAGAGAACGGTACAGGACGGAGGACAGTGTTTGGGAAGTGGGGGAGGCTCCCGGCAGCCCCCGCTGTCTCCAACAACAGAAAAACGTCGCTAAATGTATCACTAGTTATGTTGAAAGAAAAGAAAAAAAGTCATTAGACGGGTCTGAAAAGTTGATAAATATAGCGACAAAGTACATAAGATGACAACAGTGCTTCTTCCATCCCCACGCTCAGTCGTGTCTCTAGGCTCCGCCCACTTTGCTGGGACTTTCCAAAATTTCCAACTTTGAAAAAATTTGAAATCTGCTGTGGTTTCGCTTTCAGAGGAGAGAGAGTCTTCCACAACTTTTTATGTAGCATTCAGAACTCGCTACATTTTAATTTTTCAACATGTCTGTACGGTACGGGCCCAGTTTGGGAGTTTTTTATGCAGGATGTTGCAAGTTATTCTGGGCACTCAACTGGCTTCTCGATTATTTTTTTTTTAATTTTTTTTATTCGGCTAATATGCAACCACTGACTCCATCTAAGATTTTCCAGCCTATTTCGTGAGCCATGTGGAACCCAGGCGTAAAAATATGGGGATGTTATTCACAGAGCCTCTTCCTGAGGCTGTCAACGCCTCCTTCACAGTTCACCTGAGATAAGACCTGAGATGTCTTTATTGTCTTATTGTTTATTAACTCAGCATATGGATATGCATCCAGCACAGTGTGCCCCACATCAGCTGTCTGGAGAGATCTCCAGGTGATGTGCTTCCAAAAGCTCATTTGACAGATGAAAGTGTGAAAACCAGGCAGCACAGCTCAGAATCAGATATGTGCACATAAGACAAATTTATGGACCGGACTCATCTTGAGTAATCATTGTATATGTTGCCATCTGAGAGAACCGTCTTTAAAAAAAATAAAAGAGCAAAAATGAATCACTGACAATGTATACGTTAGCGAATAACATATAAAACTATAACACATATTATGACAAGTCTGTATATTTTTTACATATCATTCATCAAAAAAAGGAAAGAAATACAGAAAGTGGCATTATTATGCAACAGACAACTTTAATGACCTTCTAAGACAAGCATTGGGTTTATTTTCTACAGTCTGCTGCCTTTGTTTTGTCAGTTTTGGACTTAGTTACTTTAATAAATAACTTTTCCTCTCAAACTCGTGCCAGTGACATATCCAGAATTATGTCAGAAGCTCTCTGATCGTTACAGAAAGTGTGTGGGAGTTTTCTGCAACTTGCTTATAGATTATCAACAAAATTTCTTCTTGGGAATTTAAGAATATATTTGATTTGATGTGCATAATTTTAAGCCTGTGTGGATTGGAGAAAATCCACAATAAACTCAAACTTGTTGACTCAGTTCCTGTTTTTAAAAGCATTTGGAGTTGTTTCATAACCATTTTCCTCTCAAAAAACATAAGTTCAAATGCATAATTAAAAGCCCAACTTAACATGGCGTTCATATTGAATGTATGTAATCTAGTGAAAAGAGTTTTACATCTATCATTACATTTTTTAAAATATGTATATATATGACTACATATTTTCATTCAAACCAGGAGAGGACCCTTCCTCCTCCTCCTCCTCCTCCTCCTCTGCTTGCTCTCGCAGCAACACACTTGGTCAGACATGGCAGGCCATCAAAAAATCTACTTGTTCCCACTCCATCTGTTCAAAAAACTATTAATCTGCTGCCGTCCAATAAAATGTTCGGCCCTCACCGTGGAGCCAATGGAGGGGCATTAATGCTGTGAGGCCCAGGCCAATCCCCGGCTGCATTCTAATGCGGGCCATCTTTATCAAGGAACCACTCCATTTCCACATTCTGCGTATTTATGATTTCTGAAGAGACGGCCAGCAGGAGGCATGCATCTGTAGGACATAGCTGAGGTCTGTTTCCAGAAGGCTTCAGATATGGAGCTATCCCATGCAAAACTGAGGATGGGCGCTGCATGGTGCATTCTCAGGCGACTTTGAAAGAGTTCATGTTAGGACTCCTGCTTTTGGACTAAATCTTTAAGAAGCTAGCTGGTGCTCCAGCATCTCGACTCCGCTTTGCGGCTGTCAACGTTTTCCTCGGGGGCCACCAGAGGCCTCTCCAAAGCTCGGATCTTACTGGATGTTTTCCTGACGCTGGGAGGGGGGAAAAAATAAAAAGATTTGGAGAACTTCCCATGGATCCGAATATCCAGGGTTCTTTCCTTTTCAACAACAGCCTGAACCAGTTCCCCTCAGACCTTAAGGCACCGGTGTGCCAGTACTCGGTCCCCAACTCTTTCTACAAACTCAACCCGGGCCTTAACACCCAGCTGCAGCCGGGGACGCCCCACGGCATCAGCGACATCCTGAGCCGATCCATGGTGGGGGTCGGCTCCACCGGCACCACCACGCTGCTGTCTGGGTACTCCCCCATGGGGGGGTTCGGCCCCTCCGTAACCAGTACGTCCATGTACTACAACCGAGACTACAACCCCTCGCTGGGCTTCTCCAAAAGCGCCGCGGAGTGCCCCATGAAGGGTCGTAGTATGAGCTGCTGGGCAGAGAGCAGCTGTGACTGGAGAGGAGGGAGACAACAGTGCACCAGCGGTGAGTCTGCAGAGGGTTCCGGCGTCGACCTCATCAGCGCACAGAAACTTGCGTCAGCTTGACAGGTCTCAACAAGAGCAGGCTGCCAGGATCAGTCACTTAAACTTCACTAGAGTTTCGTTTTAAATGAAAATGTTTAGCTGTAACGTCACTGTTTTAGCAAAACATCTGGAAAGAAAGAAAACTACCTTGTACTTTCACTTTACATTAGAACTTGTATTCAGCATTTTTCTGTCACGTTCGGGAATAAATTGTGATTTGAATTGAATTGAAATCCCCAGCGTGTAATCATGACAGTCAGTTTTAACATTCAAAATTATTCAATTTTTTTTATTATTATTTCAAAATTGGGTACAAAAAACAAACTTTGTCCAAATTGTTGAAACAATAAGCCAAACCTGCACTGTTTTTTTGTTCTTTTGCTTTATACTTTTTTAGGCAGTGGTCCACTTGGGGAAATGCCCAACAGGAAGAAACACACCAGACCAACATTTAGTGGACATCAGATATTTGCTCTGGAGAAAACCTTCGAGCAGACCAAGTACTTGGCCGGGCCAGAGAGGGCAAGACTGGCTTATTCTCTGGGAATGACTGAGTCACAAGTTAAGGTGAGTTTCTCCACTTATTATAATTACAGCCAGCTTTTGACTGAGATTCTCATTTTACTCCTTTTAAAAATTTTTCGTATTTGCTGATCAATGATGGGTTTACGTATGAGCGCTACGGCTCACTGCCCAGGGGGCCATTCTATCAAGGGGCTACAGTAGAGAAAAAAAGAAGTTGTGGCTGTTGTGCCTCAAACAAGGTTTCTGTTGCTTGGTGTCATGCTGGCTGGTCGGCAGAAAATTTAAAAAGGACTGAATCTCTAATAGAATTTGTGATTACAACATTTTTTATTTTGTGGAACCTGTTTGTGAAAATCACAAATAAAGCTCTGGAAGCTCACAAATTTTTCATATTTTATTTGCAGTTTATGTGTAGTTAAGTTCCAAGTTATTGATACCCCCAGGCAGACTTGGATTAAATGTATTTCGTTTGTCTAAGTTTGTTTAAATGAGACTTGTACCTCTGAAAAGAGGCATAAGTGGCATTTTACATTTGAATAAAATGCCACTGTTAATTAAACATTCCCACAAAATAAGTGGAAAACTCAGTTTTAGAATGACAGCATCCAAACCCTTCCTTTTCCATTGAACTGCAAGACTTTAGGCTGAAAGGTCTTTTTGTCGTCACCTTACTATTTAGAGTGTTTAATTATAAATCATGTGGGAATGAGTTCACGGAAGTAACGAGGGGGAGAAAAAGGTCCGGTAAGTGAATTCCGTTGCTCTGCAGCCCTCTAATTCCTTTGAACAGGATGCGCATGTTTCGACTTGCAACTGTGGAGCTCTCGGTAAAACAAGGAGAGACGGCAGTGGCAGGCCGTGGCACCTTACGGCACCTGTCGGAAGTGCCGCAATACCTACCACTGCCACTATACGAGCTTAGGTGTTGTTCTGCTGAAAACAAGGCTGTGTGTGTGCGTCAGGTGTGGTTCCAGAACCGACGCACCAAGTGGAGGAAGAAGAGCGCCTCGGAGCCCAGCTCCACGCAGGCCACGCACGCCGGACAGGGCGGGGAGGCCTCGGAAAACGAGGTGGAGGACGAGGAGTACAACAAGCCCCTGGACCCCGACTCAGACGACGATAAGATCCGACTGCTGCTGCGCAAACACCGCAGGGCTTTTTCTGTGCTAAGACTGGGGCCGCACCCTGTCTGAAAAACACACACACACACACACACACACAAACTTCTCTCAACCAGACCTGCATGCTGTGATTAATAAAGTAACATTTGTTTAAAGTTGGGGGAGGTGGGGGGACGGACTGAGCATGTGCAGATGATGTCCCACAGAGGAGGATTGGAAAGTCAGAGGTTAGAATTCAAATGAAATGAGACTTCCGGCCTGCGATTATTGCCATTATTCCTTACATATAATTGTTCAAAAACGAATTTAAAATTCTACATTAAAAAAACAAAACAAAAACAACTAACTGAAATCTACTCGTAAAAATAGCAAATCTTTTATCTCTCCAGGCCTTCCAGCAGTGTCTCTAAGGAATATATTATTTGAATTAAAAAGTGTAAAAGAATAAAAACGTGAAACAATCAGGATCAAATGAACTGAATCAGAATTACAAATTTTAATATCTCGATCGATTTTCTGCGTTCACACGTCCGATGCTTCTAAGTTTCTGAACACCCTGTAAAAATGTCCAGCTAAACCATGTAAAATGAGCACACTTGAAATCGTGTACAATAAAAGATTATGAATTTGTTATCCGACTTTGTGA